TCTACTAGACAGCACTGTTCTAGAATATTCTGTCCCGCCTTCGTGTATGTGTATATGTGTCTTTTGTAATACAGACATTTTTTAAAAGTCCAAGCCAATTATCTTATGGAGTGCCCCACAATCTGAATTTGTTTCTTTTTTACTGTATTCTGGTGAAATCTCTGACAATAATACAATCTACGTGATTGTTATGGTCGGAATGTGAAGTGTCCCCCAAAAGCTCACATGTGAGACAATGCAAGAAGGTTCAGAGGAGAAGTGATTGGGTTGTGAGAGCCTCAACCCAATCAGTGAATCAATCACCTGATAGGATTAACTGGTGGTGACGAAAGCAGGTGGGGTATGGCAGCAGAAGGTGGGCATTGGGGGCCTGGCATTGGGGTGCATGTTTGTGTCTGGTGAGTGGAGTTGCTCTTTCTGCTTCCTGATCATCACGTGAGGCACTTCCTCCTGCCACCTTCTTCTGATGTTCTGCCTCATCTGGACACTGGAGGAATAAAGCCAGCTGTCAGTGGACTGAGAACTCTGAAACCGTGAACCCTCAAATAAACTTCTCCTCCTCTAAAGTTGTTCCAGTTTGGTCTTTTAGTCACAGCAGCGAAAAAGCTGACTAAAACAGTGATGTTGGCCTTTTGCATGAGGAGGCTCATTGTGTGCTCATCCCACTGTTGGGGAGGCGAAGCATGATCTCTGTGAAAGTGGCATCTGCTGGATTCCTCCTGAAGGCCCCTCCCCACCCTCGGGAATCCTGAGACCATGTGAATGAACATCCTGTGCCTACAGCCTTTCACCACATGGTCTTCTCATCTAGGGACAATCGTGCTTCTCTCAATTATAAGTTAGTGGTTACAAAAATCACAGGCACCTTAGTCTTTCATTTTAACTCAGCTGCATGACTCATTTCCTATATGAGTCTTTTGTGCTAAAACATGGTGAACAATTCGCCACTGCCTAGGTCTCATTATTTTACTAGTTGTGTAGCATTCCATTATATACAATTTAAAACCATACGTGGTTTACTTAATCCTTTTTGCTAGCTATTTAGGTTGATTCTAAATTTTTGCTATTAAAGTATTGATTCCATGAATGCCTGTGTACACTGTCCACCCCGTCATCTCTTGCTGAGATACATGCCTAGAAGTGACATTTCATTTCCAAGTACGTTTGGTTCAATTTGTGATACATGCACTCAGATTGCTCTCCAGAAATATCACCCAGTTCACACTCCTCGTGAGTCAGCCAGGACGCTTTCAGCTGCAAAGGAACAAAAATCCCAGCACAGCTGAGCTTGAATGATGAAGACATTCTCTCACACAAAAATCAGAACTCCAAGTGAAAGTTCAAATACTCTGTCTTCTCTTAGATTTTTATTTTACTTTTTTTTTTAGCAAAACACCAACAGAGACCTACTAAGTAGACTTCCTGACTTGCTAGTGGATCATGACAGCAGTTTGAACAGCACATGTTTGAAATATTCAAATTCCTCTCTGGATCTGGGACAGGTGAACCAATGACATCCAGAAGAATGGATGTCATCATCATACTTCTGCGGAGTGGCAGGGTACTTTCCCCAGCCCTCCTCATTCTGGACGTCACTGGGCTTTCCAGTGTTTGCCAATCTAATAAGTCAGTAGGCCATCTCCCTCTCTAAAGTTCCCTCTGTATCCCGGTGAGATTACACAGGACAGCAGTGTGATCCAGCACAGAAGGCCCACCTGCATTCCTAATCTGGAGCCTCTACTTAGCAGCTGAATGACTTAGGTCAAGCTCCTGTACCTCTCTGAGCCTCTGGCTCCTCCTCTCTGGAATGAGCATAATATCTGTTGCACAGATTTGTTGTGAAAATTAAAAGAGATCAGGTCGTGGGGCACATTGTGCACAGAGCCCTGGGGCTCTAAGAGATCAGGAGAGAGGCTGGTGTGTATGTGAGAGAAGCTTCCAGAAGCTTGATTAAAGAAAAGGAGGCGAATGAACTTTAAAACAGGAAATGCACCCAGCAGACACATGTTTACACCTGGTACCAGTGGGGAACACACACATACCCTTTCTCTGGGCTTGCACTGCTGGTGGGGTCTCCTTTGATGGGGACAGGCAGACAGAAGTGATGGGAAAATATGAGGTTAAGGGAATAATTCTAAAAACTGGGCCCACTGTGCTGACCTTCACATGCTTTTTCCTTTAAAAAGCAACTTACCTGTGGCCCTGTCTGGTTTAAGCAAACTACCTGTTATCTACCAGAGAAATGCAGGTCTGAAATGATCCTGAAAAGAGGAACCCAAGTTACCCTGAAGGCAGACTTTTGTGCTCCTTACATGGATCACATCCCAGAATTCAGGGAGATAAGAATAACTTCCCCATCATGAAAACTATAAGAAGAGGTTCCAATTAGAACCAATCAGCATGAGCCAAAGTGACCTAGAGTTGCCATGGCAGTGGGGACTTGAAAGTCTGATGTCAGCCTACTGTCAGTTAAAAGCCAAGAGATGAACCTGGGCAGGACTCTCTGGAAACTTCCCTGGAACCCCCAATAAAACATGTTCACCATGTTTTAGCACAAAAGACTCAAATAGGAAATGAGTCATGCAGAGAGGCACATAGTCCTCTCCTGAGAGGACCCACTCTCTCCCTTCAGAGTGTCCCCTTGTCCCCTTTCCTATTCCTTCTAATAAACTCATGCCTGTTAGTCTGAGTGACATGTCTGAAATCTTTCTGACTTGATTGCAAGAATCAGAGTTGAAGGGGCGGTGGTCTCTGTGCTGCCGCAGTTTCCTGGAAGGTCCATCCCTGGAACACCTTAGGTCCTCAAGAGGAGGTCCCTGTCTCCCACCTCTCGGAGCAGCCGGCATCTTGCCTGCTACCTTTCCCATGCTGCCTGCACAGGGAATGCCTGACTGGCTCACGGAAGCTGAAGCCATCCTGGGAGGTGCTGGAGGCACTCAGTGTAGGTTCCTGGGACCATCAGTTTCCCTCCGCACCCTGTGGTTTGTGTATGAATCTCACGGCCAATGTCTCCTGGAGTGGAGGAGGGAAGCCTAAGTATTTACGGCAAATAGAAAGTGGTTCAAGAATGAAGAGGAAGAAAAAGAAGTGTTCCGTCTTTTTACAAAAGAACAGACTCCGTGGAGAGAAAGTCTGCAGATTGTGATGGGCAAACTGCAAAGAGGTCCCAGAGTCTGAGTGTTCACAGCCAGCGCCAGGCTGCCAGGGTTGGCTGAGCTCTAAACGTGGTCTTGCTGTCCTGTGAATGTGGACAGAGTGATTTCAGTTGAAGGTAGCTAGCCCCTAATTAAAGAGGACACATAGCAAGAGCAGGTCAGTCGAAGAGGCACAAATGTCCCCAGAAGAGGTAAAAATTAGGTGACGTCAGAACCAACACCGTCTGTTTTTTGACAAATGAGGAGACTGTTTGAAATTGTGGGTGGACTTGCTTCAACATTGTAACAACAATGCTAACATTTATAGTGTCACTGTTCCCGTTGACTTCTTTTCCCTGACTTTATCCCAATAGAGCAACAGAAATCTATAAAAACAGTCTCCTGGAATGTATTTACTGTGCTGAGCACCTTACATGAAGTATTTCTTATAGTCCTCATATTAAGTCTATAAGATGGTTATAACCATCCTCACTTTAGAAACATGGAGCCAGATGCACAGAGAGGGTAAGTAACTTGCTCAAAAGCCCACAGCTAAGTAGTGGTTGCGGAATATGAATTCACGAGAGATACCTCTGTACAATATTGCTAGCCCATGAAATCTCACTATTATACAAATGAAATAAAAAAAAAATAGTTGATTTCTGAAATGCAGATGCACTCTATGGTGTTAACTCAAAGCCTGAAAATATCCCTGGGATTGGTACGTTGTAAGATAGTGGTGGTGCTAAAACTTCCAGGGAACTTGGAAGGACACAAGGCTTGAGGGAAGGGTCACTTCAGCCTCATCGTGGGGAATAATCAAGTCCGTATGGACTCCAGTCCATGGCTGAGGCCCACTTCCAGGACTGGCTCATTAGACCACAGCAGTCAGTGTAATGACCCAGCCATCAGGACGGGTTTCTCCCTAAGGATACACACTGCTAGGACGGAATTCTATTAAGCCAGCCTGGACCTGGAGGGAGACTGTATTTCTGTCTTTCAAAACTGGACTAAAAGGGGCAGCAGCTGTAATATGGAGGCCTGCATTTCCCTCCTGCTGGGTGCTTGTGCCTCTAGCCCCTGTCCTGTCTCCTCAGGGAGCCCACTACAGTCCAGTTGAGCTCTCTAGACCTGCTCCCTGCCCCAGTGAGGTGCTGGGCGGGGCGAGCCCAGCTCCCCGCTCCAGGCACCAAGCCTTACCACGATTATTACAGTCTTGCCAGCTCTCAGTTTAACCAGCTCAGCCCTGGGTCCTTGGCTTCATTTGAGACACAAATCACAGAGAGGCAAGCCAGCAGTACTTGAACCAGGCTTTGTTGGGTTTATGCTCAAGCACACAGGTAGGGCCCCTCAGCTGCTCCCTCTGGACTTGAGGAGTAAAGCTTCTGTGGATGAAAACGATGGGTGTACCCTACCCCAGGATTTCTGCACACATAATTATCAGTTTTGTTTTGTTTTTTTCCCCTCTGGGCACTGGGATTTGTACTTGTCCTGGAGATCTGCTGATGTTAGATTCCTGCCACTGGGCTCAAATGATGGCAGAGGTGACCCTGCCCCACCCCAGGAGGTCCCCTGCTGGTCAAGTCCAGGGTGGCAGGAAAGCTTAGGGGAGGACCAGCAGTCCCCCGGGTCTGTCCTTGGGGAAGCACACTTTGAAATCAGCTTGTGTTAAGTGGGGGCCTTGGTGGGGGAAACCAGGGCCCTCACTGCTCTGTTTCCGTTATTTCTCAGTTACTCAGAGGCCACAGAGGCGGAGAGTGCCAAATTAAGACAGCAAACAGAAAAAGGCAAGGACCCACCCATCAGCACACCAGCACTTTAAAAGAAAGCAGACGTGGAGGTCATTTCCGACTCTGGCATCCTGTATCATGATCATAAGAAACGTTTATTCAGATACAGCACACAAATTAGTTGATGACTTCCCTTGTTGCTATAAACTGTCAGGGCCAGAGACAGAGAGCCAAGAACAATGAAGTATCTTGCCACTAAATGAAACTGCTCCTGGTTCTAGTCATTGGTGCAGGGAGCCTCTTCACAACCCAAGTCCTGACCTATTTCTCAGCTTCTGAAAAGAAAGAAAATCTGATGAGCTCAATCCATGCCTAAAACTCAAGGGGGCTTCTCCCCGACCCTGAGCTAAACTCCAGCTCTTCCCTCCTGGTAAAGAGAGTCTTCACAATCTGTCCCCTGCCTGCCTCTTGGGTCTCAGCTTTTATTATGATGATTATTATTTTAAATTGGCAGATAGGATTGTACGCACAGCCCTCTACAGCAGGATGTCCCGCAGAGCGCTGTAGCTGTCAGCACCTGGGCTCCCAGGCCCCGTCTCAGCCAACAGCACCAACAGGCCAAGCCTGTGTCTGGTGGCCCTGCAACCCTCCCCTTGCCTCTCCACCCTGGTCTTCACGCTTCCTCTCAGCTAAGACGTCACTTCCTGCTTTTCCCCAGGCACATCATGGCCCCTGCAGTTACCCTCCTCCCCCAGCTGCCAACCCTCGAGAGCAAGCAAGCTCCACTGTCACTGCTCTAGTCTCAGAGCCCTGCCTGCCACGTTGTCTGGCACATCACAGACACTTGACAAATATTTATGGTTGAATGTTCTTCATGCTCATATGATTTTTGATGTTTTTTTTGCTGTTTAGAATATAGTTAACTGTTTTCTTTTAATACTCTCTACTGTGTACTGAAAATAACCAAGTGACTCATAGCTTCTCCGGCTCTAAGCTGACGCCTACTGATGCCATGCCTAGGGCAGGACCTCCCCACCTCCACCCACAGCACTCGCCTCAATCACACGGTGTAGGACCTGGATGCTGCATTGAGAAACTGGCTTCTACCCAACACCAGGGAGGGTCAGTGGACATTTGCTTAGGACCAGGGAGTGTGCAATTATAGCTCTGTCCCAAAATGGATGTTTCTGGGAGGTGGAGGATGAATTGGCGGAAAGAAAGCCTTGAGCTTGAGCTTAAGGGAAACTGGCTGGAGACCATGGCACTAATCAATGGACCAGGCTGCGGGGGTCTGTGCAGAGGAGGGCCAGAGTCCAACTGAGAGGCAGGACTTGGCAATCAAGCAGATGTCGGGGCAAAAGGAAGAGGATCAAGTAGATTTCAAACTCCTGGGTCTGGAAAACGGGAAGGCCGGTGAAGCCACCAGCAGAAATAGGGGTCATTAGAGGGATCACGGAAGTATCTCACTTTGTTTGGGGAGGAGTGTGTGTTGGATGTGCTTGCAGAGAATGGAGTTCTAAAGCTTAAATAGTCAAATAAAATTAGAGATAAATTTATTGAGTAATTACTCCATAGTAATCGATCACTTTACAAAATTTACTTCTTGAATGCTGATGACACCGATTCCACTATTCTCTCCTTTAGATGAGGGAACACAACAGAGTCACTTTTTTGGGTTCACCCAGTTGCTCCGAATGGCAGAGACAGAATTCCACCCACACTGTGGGACTTGGCGCCCTCAGTGTGTGGGAAAGAGAGCTTAGAGAGAGGGTTCAGAGCTCTCTGCAGACGTCAGAGGGGTCCACCCAGGATGTTTTTGGCAGCTCTGAGCTCAGACAAGGTTGTCCAGGGAGATGACATGCAGAGGCAAGAGCTGGCCACCAAGTACAGAAATGGAAGGCTGAGAGTGGGGAAGAAAAGGCCGAGGTAGAGAGGAAGCAGGGGTGGCCAGAGGGCAGGGGGTGGAGGAAAGGATTCTAGAAGGCAGAAATGTCCCTGAAGAGAGGTGAGGTCATGTGCTGTGTAGGGGTCAAGAGGAAGTCATTTAAGGCCATGTAATCGCCTATTATTTATTCTTCTTTGATGGTTGGGCTGATAATCAGTGTTCTTCTGAGTGCATGTGGGCATTTACGGTGCAGAAGGAAAGGCCCAGGAAGCAAGCTGTGCAACAACAGCAGCATCTGTAGAATGACACCAAGGACCAGCAGAGAGGGCTGGAGGGAGATTGGTGCTGCAGTCTCCTTGCCACAAAGAGGCAAAGTGACCAGCCAAGTATGATCCTGAGGCTGCTCAAATCCCACAGGGCACCATCAGCATAACGAGAGCCTCAGTGGGGTTCCATGTGGACACATGATCTGTGACAGCCTTAGCTCTGGCAACCTGAGACCCCTGGATCACTTGATCTGACATCAAGCTCTCTTTTCAGCTTCAGCACCAGATGGCAGGGAGGTGGCCATTCCCAGAACAAGTTAGAACTCTTTTTCATCCAACACCATTCAGATAAGACCTGGCTGCAAGGACGGAATTTAGAGGCAGATGGTTCTCTCTAGCTTGGTCAGCGATGAGGTGATCTTTTGGTTTGAGGCACAGAGGTTCTAAGCCCTGGGGAATTTGACTGGCCCCTTCAGAAGAGGAGAGATTCCTTTCCTTTTCCTTGGTTCAATAATTGATGAACTGGCATCCAAACTGCTTTGACTGAGTTCCTGTTGGAGGCTTAAATGGCCTCAAAGCGTCTGTGCTGGAGGAGGGGCAGGGCTCCCTGGCCATCAGCAGGGACCTGATAAGGGTTTGACTAAAAGGACAGGCCCTCCATCAGGGCATGGGACAGAGAGGTTGGAGGGGCAGAGCTCCAGCCCTTATTGTGCTTGTTGGCATGTAGGTTTTCTCAGACCTCGGATCTGGAAGGGACAGTACTGAGTCCTAGGAGCCGGGCCCAGGTGTCTCGACTTACAGTCCAGATCTCTTTCCACTCGAGCATTCAGAAAGCAATCGATCCCTCTGTCCTTGGATGTTTGTCCTATATCAGCATTCCAGCATCTAATGCTACTTACCATCCCCCAAAGCATATCTTTGTGCCTCAGGCAACACGGAAGTGAGAGGGATAGACAAGCTTTTATAAAGCCCTGAGCAGATGCCCAAGGAGTCTCTTCAGAGGGAATGTGAGCTTTGGGGAAAGGCCGCTCAGGCTTCGGGCCAGTTCACTCCTGGTTCTAACCCAGGCTCGATCACTGTGGCATTGGGCAAGTCATTGTTTGAACTCTGTTAGCTTCCCATTGCCAACCTCGCAGCTCACCACCAGACTCACTCTCACCGTTCTGGAAGAAGTCCACGGCTTGTCACCTGGGACGAGCCTCGTGAGGGGCTCTCCAGCAGAATTTCCTTCCTTTCCAGTTTTTAGAGGCCACCCACACTACTTGGCTGATGCCCCTCCCTCCTCTCATCTCCCCAGCCTAGGGCTTTTGCCATCTCCTCTCCCACACTGACCCTGACCTTCCCGATCCCCTTACACAATAGATGACATTAGTCCCTCCCAGACAACACGGAAAATCTCCTGTCTCAAGATTTTTAACTTAATCACATTGGCAAAGTCCCTTGGGCCATTATTCTGTCTTTCATGAGCTCCAGGAGGTTCACAGATAATTCTTAAAACAATAATTTCCATGTAACTGTGCTTAGATATCATTTCTCATAAGACTTCTTTGAAACCCCAAAACTAACTTAGAGCTTCCTCCTATGTGCTCCAGTAGCCTTCTGGGCTCCCCCCTATGTGAACCCTTCTGCCCACATTATAGTTATGAGAAACTGATGTGACTCCATTTTTGAGAAACCAGCCTCTACCTCAGAGCAAAGCCTGTCCAAGGAAGTGGGTGTGACACTTGTCCTTGGAAAAACCCACAGAGCACTCCTAAGCACATGCCCACCCTGCTGAGTTGTTTGTCTACAAATAACAAGAGAGATCTGCGGAGCCAGGTGTCCCTGACTCAAGTCAGGCTAGGTGAGGACCCATAGCAACCCCCTAGCAACCACCAATCAGCATGAGACAGGGAAAATACCTGGGATGCCAGATGACCCCCCAGTAGTTATAGTGGTTGATAACATGTTGGGAAACCATGTAGTTCAGCACGTACACCTCTCATGGTTTAAACCAATCATTTATAAGTGCGTCAACCCCTTGAACTAACCAATAATCCTTTCCAGATTCTTTCCTGCCACATGATATGCTAATCATGTTTTAGAGTTGTTTTATGATTTTCCCGCGGTGTGTGATGATTTGCTAAGAGATGCTATGATGTATGTGAAGTCCCTGTCTTCCCCAAAGAGTGTATAAAGAGGTGCAAACCCTGGGCTTAGGGCCTCTCAGCCTCACCAGTTGCTGTGTGTGCAGAGGACCGAGCTAGCTCGCAATAAACGCCTCTTTGCTGCTTACATGGATCTTGTTCTCTGGCGGTCTTTTGGGGGTCCAGAACTCGAGCTTATCAGTTACTTGATCACAACTTTATCCTGAAGATTAGACTGTAAAACTCTGTGGAGGGGCTGGGGTTGTGGCAGCAGTAGAGCGCTTGACTAGCACGAGCGAGTCCCTGGGTTCGATCCACAGCACCACATAAAAAAATAAAATAAAGATATTGTGTCCATCTACAACTAAAATATAAAATATTTCAAAAAAAAAACACCTCTGTGGAGCAGAGACTGTGTCCTGTTTATTTTTGTATCTCTTGACCCCCAACACAGAATCTGGTGCTTGCAGTTGCTTAATTAATATATGCTGTTATGAAGATCAAATGAGATCGTATAAAATACTCAGTGGTACCTGACTCAAATAGGTATTCAAGAGATGGTAGAGGGCTGGGGATACAACTCTATCGGTAGAGTGCTTGCCTCATATGCACAAAGCTCTGGGTTCAATCCTCAGCACCACAAAGAGAGAGGGGGGTGGAGAGAGAAGATCCTGTTGCTAACACCCATTATGTCCAAAAAAGGGGGAGATATCTGTGAAGGTAAATGTCTTCATCCCTTCATGGGAAACTATGAGACTGCACATCTTCTAACTTAGAAGCAAAAATCCTGTCGGCAGTCTAAGCTAATGCTGTGGTTCAACTTTTCTGTTTTTATGGTAACACAGTTTTGCCCAGAACCCACTACATATTTGCTGAAGAAAAGTTGCTGTAGGCCTTTTGGAAGCAAGAGGGACAGGAGAAAGTGCAAAGAAAAAAAAATCAATTACCTGTATTTCTCTTTCCCACCTGGACAGAATAGAGATGCAGCCCACGTCTGCCTTACCTTTAGAGGTAAGATCCAGCTTTTGGCTTCAATCACATTTCCTCTCAAGGGGTCATCACTTCTCTCTGCTACTAATGTTTATACCTGGTACAGTGAGGGAGGAGAGAAAGGCAGCAGGCCAGGAGGTTCTGGCAGCCTCCAGGTGCTGGATTCGTGGTATTTCTGAGCTTGCTTTCTGGCCTCATGCAACTCAACCATCTTGCAATTTCTATAAAATGCATGACTCATCTCAGAGATGCCAAGAAATTCAAAGACTCTGTGTTCCTGTCATTAAAGGAGAAGAGTTAAATACAAAAAAGCTGCTGCAGACATACCTATGAAACTATTACTAGATCAAAGCCAAGGCCTGAGCAAGCTTTGATTTCATTTCAAAGCCAGAAGCAGGGGACCTACTGTCACCCTGCCATTTGGATTGAGATTCAAACCCCTCCATGGTGGGGACTCTGATTCTGCTGTAGGTTCACACAGTAGGACTTGCACTAGTAACCTTGCCTTTCTTGCCAAGTAGCAGCATGGACTGACTGCATGCACAGCCAGAGCCTGATTGCTGTATGTCTTGGGCCATTTTCTGTTGCTAATAACAAAACCCCACAGACTGGGTAAATTAAAAAGAAACAAGATTTATTTGGGATCCTAGTGCTGGTCCAATGTTGAGAGCTGACTCTGTTGATGACCTTTTTGCTTGCAGAGTCCCATGGTGGCACAGGGCATCAGCTGGTCTGAGACAAAGTGTGTGTGTGTGTGTGTATGTGTGTGTGTGTGTGTGTGTGTGTGTTTATGTGCAGCCTGGTATCTCCCCACCCTGCCTCTGAACAACATAGTTGGATTGTTTCTACCCTCTTAGGACCTAGTGATGGGGGCTACATCTCAACATGAATTGCAGAGGGGTCAAACCACATTGGAACCAAAGCTGGAGTGAGGACGTGGTCCCTGCTGGAGGCTAGCTTCAAGCTGATTCCACATGGGCGCCCCACCCCTGCTGCAAGGGCTGAACCTTTACACCTCAGGGCTGGGCTGCTCCTCTGGAGGAGCCACAACCTTGGTGGAAGAGATGAATGCTGGGCTGAACCTTCAGGGTCACCTTGGAGAGGGCACTTCCCAGAATACAAGTGAGCTGCCATCATCTTTATGCATAATCTCCATAAGCCCCACCTTGATATCTGGGGTGACGTCTTCTAAGGTGGGGATGGGGGCAAAGCGTTGTGGATGGTGAGGGCAGGACAGAGAGAAAGCACCTATCAGGTTTCCAGGTGGAGCTGTGAAGATAGAGACTTGGCTTTGTGCTGGGCCCCACAGAGATGCAATGGGGTTGGAGTGGGCCCTGAGAATTTGCATCTTTGACAAGACCCCAGGTGATGCTGATGCTGCTGGTTGGGGACCACATTTTGACATCTGATCTAGATTTCTAGGGGCAGGTTGGGGCCAGATATAGTATTAGGAGACAATGGCATGGCTGTAATTTAGATCTAACATGTCCCACAAAAGCCCACGTGGCAAAGGCTTCCTGCCTAGCTTTGCACAATTAGGAAGTGGTGGAACCTGTACAAGGTGGGACTAGTAGGAGGTCTTCTGGGTCACTATGGCCTGTGCACAGCCACCTGTGTTTGTAAATGAAGTTGTAATTTCTATTTTAAAACAGGATACCTGGCTATACATTCATTTATACAATAATTCTTGAATATTTCATACATCTATTAACACGACAATGAAACATTGGCATTGCCTGAATGCTTTGTAACATGAAATAATTATCTGATTTTGGATATAACTTCAGAAAATGTAACATCACCCAAAATGTACAGAAATGCATAGCCAAGAAAGCAAGTCTTGGATCCATCCCCCAAAGCTACATATGAAGCTATATAGTAAAGTTATACAAAGATATTCTTTTATATGAGGTGTGTTGTAATATACTATTCAAACCCAGAAATCTTGGAGTCAGTGTGGGGAAGGCTCTTGGAGAACTGCTTTGCAGTTTTCTTAGAGCATCTGTGCACATGTCAGAGCCTCCTCGATATTCCCACAATTTGTTCCTCTTCTCACTAGCACCCACATCCTAAAATAAAGTACACTTACAGGCATGATGTGCACAGTGGAGTGATAATACCCTGGCGTCCTCAGCAATATTTATTCAGTTTTGAGCCCTTAAGAGGGAAACCAAAATTAATTCATGATAAAGCTAGAAATCTAGACTTGGTTAAAAAGTTATTTCTCTGTTTAATAATTTGTCAGATCCTAGCAAAGTTAATGAACAGTACTGTGGCTGCCTTTTGATCTTAAGACAAAGATGGGATAGTTTAAGGAGGTGCTTTGCCACTGACTCAGGAAGGACAAGTAGCTGCCCATCCCCCATGGCTCCCTGCACTTGTTTATGGCCTGGGTTAGTTATTCACCTGTGTATCAAGCCACCATCTCAAAGACAGGGAGCACTTCCTCCTGGGGCTCTCGTGAAGATGAAAGGATTCCACACAGGCAAGGAGCTTAGACTATGCTCAGCACACAGTGAGTGCTCCGCAGATGAGAGCCATTGTTGACTATTAGAGATTGGCCACCTGAGCCGAGGGAGGTCTGAAGATATCAGGAATAACACAAACAGGTAACTAGAAGGGTAACTCTCTCTGTCTCTCTCACCCTATCGAAGGACCCCATCCCTGGCCCAGCTCATTGCAGTCCATATATCCCCTGGGGCAGACTTACTCTCCATGGTTTCCTCTACCACTGCTAGGTCAGTGATCCTGACCTAGAGCTCCCGCCCTGACCTCAAGGCTAGCTTCTTCTGGGCTCCGATAAGCACTGCACATTCAACACACCCCAACCCTAACATCACCCCACTCCCCCAGCCTCACCCAGCCTGCTTGCCAGGAGTCTCCAGGCCATCCTCTCTCTCTTTCCAACCTGCCCCATGCTTACTCAGTAACCGGGTCCTTCCAGTTTTACCTCTCCAAGTGCCTCAACCTGTCTCTCCCCACCCCTCTGCCACCGTGGACCTGGGTCTTCCTGATGTCCAGCACCTCCCTGCTTAAAACTTCCAGTGACCTCTTGCTTCTGCAGCGTCCAAGCTTCTGAGCATCTCTTCAGTACCCTCCCTGACCAGGCCCAGCCCCTCTCTCTGACTTGTTTTTCTGCACCTTCTGACTTGCACTTTTTCTAGCAACACTGAATTGCTGACTATCCCCTTGTCCACAAAAGGCTGCATTCTAGTTCTGTGTCTCGGCTGACACGGCCCCCTCTGCTTGCAATGCCTTTCTCCCCTTTATCTGGCTAACTCAGATGGAGGACATCGCCTCCAGGAAGTTTTCCCTGATCCTCCTCTCTCTCCAACTAGGTTTCACATCCTTCCCTGGTGGCTGTCTTGTCCTTGATGTGGCAGGCCTTTGCACTTGCTATTCCACATCCTTCCCTGGTGGCTATCTTGTCCTGATGTGGCAGGTCTTTGCACTTACTATATACGCCTCCCTCCCTAGACCATGAATTCCTTGCAGTCAGGAAATGCTGCTTCTTGTTCACTTGTGTTTCCTGTGTGACTGATATGGTGCCTGGCATGTCTTGGGCACTTACTAAATGAATACAGAATGAATAGACAGTGTGTCTCTTGGAGAAACTAGATGATAGAGACTAATGTGTGTCCCCAAGGTGGGAAAGGACATCCCTGGCAACATGGATTTCACTCCAGGGCTCAGAAGGTGAAACAGCCCACGGGGCTCAGGGATGGGGGAGAGGAGAGAGCAGAAATGGCCTGGGAGAAGCCTAGAGTCAGAGGACAGGTTATAGAGAATCTGTATCCCCTGCACCTCGACACTCTGCCTTGGGTTTTCACATGGCCAAAGCAGAGGGGAAATGAAAAGGCTATTTGCTCACTCAACAAACCCGCGTGAGCATCTACTCACGAGGCAGGTAGAGCCAGGTGTGGGAGGACACAGCAGTGAACAACAAAGTCCTGTCTCAGCTCTCTTTGGGCTAACCAGCTGGAGGGGAGACGGAAAACATGAGAGCAAGCACGGAAATCTCTCCTGACAAGTGGCAGTAAGAACCATGACGCAAGGAGCAGGATGCAGAGAGAAAATAGCAGGCGGGAAGGGAAGGTCTCTCCGAGGATGTGGTTTTGAGCTGAAGCTGAGCAGGACAGGAAGGAGAGGGAGGAGGAGCAGCCCAGGACACAGCATGGAGGGACCAGCACTTCCAGAAACTTAGGAGCCTGATTCAGACTCAAAACTGGTACTGGAGGCATCACAAAACCCAATTTCACAGCGTACTACAGAGGCCTAGCAACAAAACCAGCAGGCTGATGGCATCAAAACAGACACACTGACCATGGGATAGAAGACAGAGAAACAAACCCACACAGCTACAGTCATCTGATTCTGAACGAAGTGCTAAAAACACACGTTAGAGAAAAGCAGCCTCTTTTGCAAATGATGCTGGGAAAACTAGGCATCCATATGTAGAAGAAAGAAATGAGATCCCTGTCTCTCACCTGCATAAAACTCAATCCAAAAGGGATCAAAGACCTCAGTATAAGACCCCAAACTTTGAAACCACTAAAAGAAAAACTAGGGGAAACAATTTAAGATACAAGCACAGGCAACTGCTTCCTGAATAGGACCCTATGGCTCAGGAAATAATAGCAAGAACTGATAAATGGGACAGCATCCATTTCTGCACAGCAAAGGAAATAATTAACAGGGTGAAGAGAGAACCTATGGAGTAGAGAAAATCATTGCCTGTTACTCTTCCAACAGAAGATTAAAACCCAGAACATATAAAGAACACACACAAGGGCTGGGATTGTGGCTCAGTGGTGGAGAGCTGGCCTAGTACATGCAAGGCCCTGAGTTCAACCCTCAGCACCACATAAAAACAAATAAATAAAATAAAGGTATTGTGTCCATCTACAACTAAAAAAATAAATATTAAAGAAAGAACACACACAAAACAACCCAAAACCCCAACCCATTCCATAAATGAGCAAATGAAATGAAAAGACAAAGTGGCAAATAATTATATGAAAAAAATGTTCAACAACTTCAGGCATCAGGGAAATATAAATCAAAACAACAGTGGACTTCTGTCTCATCCTGGTCAGAACAGAGAGCAAGAATACAATTAACAAGCTGGGCATGGTGGCACTAGTCTGTAATCCCAATGACTCAAGAGTCTGAGGCAGGAAGATCATAAATTGGAGAGGAGCCTCAGCAACTTAGTGAGACCCTTTTCAACTCAGCAAGGCCCTATCTCAAACTAAAATGTAAAAAGGGCCAGGGATGTTGTTCAGTGGTGAAGTGCCCCTAGGTTCAATCCCTGGTATAAATAAATGAATGAATGAATGAATGAATGAATAAATATTGCTGGGGAGAACATAGGCAGGGAAGTGTTGAGAGCCACAGCCGAAGGGGCCCCAGCAAACTTTCAGACTGCCAGCTGATGATTGGCTCACAGCAGCCCCAGCAACATCTAGCTGATTGGCTCCTCTGCAGTGATGCTCATTGGGCTGTTTCCCTGCCCTTTCAGACCACGGAGCTGCTCATTGGGGGACTTTTTTGGCTCTGCCCACGCGACCCAGCCAATCGGCCTCAAGAGCAGGAGGATTGTGAGAGAGGCTTGTGGGAAGCCGGTGGTGGCAGTTGGGCTCTGAGGGTTTTTCCTGAGGAGCTGTTTTGTTTGGCGTGTGTGGTTCTAAAAATAAAGTTCATTTCTTTTGACAAGTGGCTCCTGAATCGTGCCCAGCCAGACTGCGGCAGGGAAGGAACTCATACTCTTCACGGGAATGTAAATTAAAACAACTAGTATGGAAATCAATATGGAGGTTCCTCAAAAGACTAGGAATGGAACCACCATATGACTCAGCTGTACCACTCCTCAGTATTTATCCAAAAGAATTCTAGACAGGGTACTTCAGAGGTATCTGCATTCCCACATTTTTCATGGTATGATTCACAATAGCCAAGTTATGGAGTCAGCTTAAGTGCTCATCCATGGATGAATGGATAAAGAAAATGTGTCATTTATACACAGTGGCATTTTATTCCATCCTAAAGATGAAAGAAACTATGTCATTTGCAGGAAAATAGGTAGAACTAGAGATCATCATGTTAAGTGAAATAAGTCAGACTCAGGTATTTCAAATTTTTTTCTCATATATGGAAGTTAGAGGAAGAAAAAACAGACACCATTAAGATAGATCAAGGGAGAATATAGTGTAGGGGAAGGGGAGAGGGGAGTGGGGAGGTAGGGTGAGGAAAACCAATGGGTTTATATTGTATGTATGTGTGATATGCCTCAAAGAAAGCCCTGATGCTGTGTAATTAGTCTGTACCAATAAAAAATAAATCACATACTTAAAAACAAAACAAAAAACAGGCTTAGGTCAGGGACTAGGCTTAGATTCTGCTCCAAGTTCCACATCCAGGAAGAGTTTTATGGAGGGGAGCCATGTGGTGTGGTGCCCATAAGCTGCTGGGGTCAGGGTCAGGACAAGCCTGGGAAGGAGCTGGAGAAGAAAGGGGAACAGCCAGGGTTGTCTGGGGGTAGTGGTAAGCTGTTCAACCTTAGGAAATATTTTCATTTACCCCATTTTACAGCAGAGGAAATGTCATCAGAGCTGGAAGACCCACATCTGCCCCTTTCCTCAGTGGGAACTTAAACCTCTTTTGCTGCTTCCAAAGCTCCTAGGCTCCCATGGCAAAGATTAAAGAGGAAGATAATATCCTTTCATCTTTGGAGGGTGGGAATTCCCACCCTCTGCAAACGGGGAATCTTTCCAAAGGAAAACCCAGTGCCTTAGAGATGCATCTCCTCCCAGAGTCCCTAGTTTTAACTTCAGGAATTGTGAAAAATACATCATCTACCAAGCAAAGATGTTTAACCAAGTCTTGATTATTGGTGTTTGTAAAAGTGAAATAGGGCATTGGTAGAATAGACTTCAGTCCTTTGCAGTTAATACAGTGATGATAATCTGTCCGCATGGAAAGTTTCTGCACTATAATTTCTATAAAGTATTTATCCATATAGAAAAAATTCTAGAAGAATCTCTGCCAAAATATCAAGAGTGGCTACCTATGAAAAATGGCACATCTGGAGCTTTTTGTGGCTGCTTTTTTTTTTTTTTTAAATCTATAGCATCTAATTTGTTAAATTCAAAATGTGAATTTTTTTAATTGGCGTATAACACAAATATGAAATGGGCACTCACCTGTTCATGACTTGATGAGTGATCGCAAATTGAACACACCCAGGAAACTAACAAATGGATCAAGAACCGGGACACTATCAGGCTTCTAAAAGCCTTCTTCATAGAATCATTTAGAACCTACTGTATTTTCTTACTTCCTTCACTAAAGACTATGTTTGCATGATTTTTTTTTAAATGGTTGCATTTAATTGTAGTGAATTGATCAATTGTTCTAAGAATGTTTATACCTTATCTTTTATAAACATGACTCCATGTGGAATCTGTGATGATCATTAGTAATCTGGTCACTTTACAGAGCACTATAATCCAGGACACTTCTTGGAAATTTCAAAAGAAATTAAGCAAGTTGGTAGAGAAAACACACCACCTCAAGTATTTCCTGAAGCCCTCGTACAAGTCTCCTTGTCTTACGGATGAGAGTCAAGAGAGGATGGAGTGTAAGAGCAGTGTCGAGAACTTAGTACCAACTCTCTTTCCCCACACCTGCTTCCCCTCTGGGGAGAGTCCTTTTCTGTTAACTTTAGAAAAAACACACAATGATTCACAAGATGAGACTCCATTCTGGTGGGTCTCAGCAGCCAAGAAGTGCAGGTTTCTTGTCTTGTAAATTTGAAGGACAAAATCCACAGACCAGGCAGACCAAGACATGTGAGCATAATGATAAAATTTATTGAAAAGCAGGAGCATAACTTTTGCAATGCAAGTGAGAATAAGGAAATTTCACCCTCAGAAAATCCTAGTCTAGGGGATGATATAGCACTTGGGTCACTCCCATCGGTTCAAACTTATGCTAGTTAGGGTTTGGAAACGCACTAATACTGTGGATCAACTCTGGAGTCCCGACTTCCACTCAACTCTGCCCGCATCCATTTCCTCAGGGCAGGTCAGAGGGGGAGGG